CGCACAGAGGAGACTAGCAAAACACCAGCTCTTATGGGTCAAGGTCTGGCTTGGAATCGTCTTAATCGGTCCTCGGCCCAGTTTACGGGTAAACTGGAGCTGCAGTAAGAGCTCCCAGAGCCCCGCTCACAGGATGCGGTGGATGAGGGCGCCTGAAACGCCCCCTCTGCCGGCAGCACCGGGATTCCGCCCCCAGCCTCAGTAAACCCAAAGGATTATCCAAAGTACAGCACTGCTACGGTGCGACTCTGAACTTGGGAAAGCACGAGGCATATTTGCAGTGGAAAGCCAGGACTTTAGTATCCGACTGCTTTCCTCCGGGTGAAGCTGCCACTCAAAAGGTTGGCGTAGAGAGTCTCTTTCTGTTTTGTTGTTGTTTGTGGTACCAGGGATCGAAGCCAAGGCCTTCACACTGAGTTACATCCTTAGCCCTTTTTAAATTTTGAGACAAGTTCTCGCTAAATTGCTAAATCGCCCAAGCTGAAATTGAGTCTGCCGCCTTCCGCCTCAGCTCAGTGGCACTCTGGGATTACACACAGCTTGCGCCACCACACCTGGCTCTTCACGAGCTTTTTTAATCCCTCCATCTAAAATAGTCTATATTTTCTCATTTCCTATTATCCCATCTAGGGAAGGAATTCTCATAAAATACAGCAAGGTGACTCTAAGTGGTGAGAACAATTTTCACCAGAAGCAACAGGCGTCAGAAAAGAAAGGCAGAGATGGAAAAAGCAAAGGGTGGAGGGCAGCAAAGAGTGAAAGAATAGGAAGAAGCAGGGCTAGGGATTTAGCTCAGCGGCAAAGTGCCTGCCTGGCAAGCACAAAATTGTGAGTTCGGTTCCCGGTACCGGAGGAAAAAAAAAAAAAAGAATAGGAAGAAGCGGAGCCAGCAGAGGAAGAGAAGCAACGGCCAGAAAAGCCAAGAAGCATCCTACAGCCACGACACCTACTTCTTTTCTCCGAATCTCATCACAAGGGGCCAGCAAAACTGACTCAGTAACTGATACTGCCTATGAACCTCACAAAAGAACAACACAGCTATGAAGGCATGCGCTAAAGACAGCGTTCTGAATTCTGCTCTGAGTCTCCTCCCCTCAGTTACATGTCTCATGACCTTTCACCTTCATTTATGTTCAGAGGCACCTGTCTCATGCACTGCTATCTGCCAGGGATCCCCTGTCATTTGCCTTGACAGCTCGAACTCCAGCGTCCTTCCCCATGTATGACTTGATCGACCACGTTCACGCCCTGCTCTTCCCAGGCACACGCATCTGCTCTGAATGTGAACTTTGTTCCCTGGACTGAAGCCTACAAGCAATGAACCCACCGGAAAACACGGGTAACACAGAACTCTGCACCCCCAAATTATTTTGAAGTTCCAGATTATACCCTTAGTGGTCACCCCGCTAGAGCCCAGCCCCCACATCATAGCCTTTTGCAGCTCTGGGCCTGGCCTTTTCCTCCAAGCTGTGGATGTATGCATCTAGGCTGGGGAAGACACACTCAGCCCCAGGAGCCAAGAACACACCCGCCTCAAGCTGTCGAAGTAGCTTCAGTAGGGAGAGCTGCTTAAAGTAAGCCTTGACCAAAAAGCAAGACTACCTTATTGTTTTCATTACAAATCTCGCCATAAACAGAAGCACCTCGGACCCGGAGCATGTTGAAGATAACATCAGAGACAGGTCTGGAAGCCAAAATGTGCAGTTGTTCAGTGTGCTTGAAAAGAAATGACACACGAGGGAGAAGCACTTGTAGACAAAGACTCGGAAGCCGAAATCCTTCCCAGAAGACGCAGCAAAATGCTATGGACATGAACACTGGAGGACCTCACATTAATCTCACAGTGGGTTCAGAAAAGGGCCAGAGGGAAAAAACAGGGCAAGAGTCAGCAAAGAGATTCCAAGCGCAAACAATGCATGTGGGTATTTGGTAAGCTGCGGGCGCCACGGGCCTCCCTCCCATGAACGGCTACATCAAACCTGAGGAAGTTTCACTGGAATGAGACTCTAACTTCACCAACCCAGCCGGGCACTTCTGAGATGTAAGCATGTTCTTTGAGCACGTGGCAGGCAGCCACCACGACGGTGACCAGAGAGCCCCGAGCTTGTCAACACTTTGTGGCAATATTAGGGGGTCATCTTATTCTCTTTTTCGACTTGGTCTAAGATTCTGGAATTCTGTTTTAACTGTTGGGCAACTATGATGACCTGGATGCAAGAAAGAATTTAATCTATTTCCACTGCAGTGTGTAGCATAGATACACGCACACATCATTTCAAAACTTACGGGGCTATCGTGCTATAGGGAACAGAACTTTTTTAAAGGTCAAAGAAATGAGAAGACAAATGAGTCAACGTGATTCTCCAGACTCTCTCTGCTGCCCACTTTTCAGCCAAACATCTTGATGAAAATGGCCAAAAAGAAGAAGCAGGGGTATGTGTGGAGGACACAAAGGCGGTGACATGGCACACGGCCGGACTTTGGGGACAGTGCTCAATCTCCCTTCCTCCCAAATACGTTTCAATTTCAACCTGTCACCACATCTCAGGCCCTGCATCGTTCAAACTGTGTCCCTTTAGGCCCTTAAGAACACCAGAGATCTAGTGAAAACCACAGGGAAAAAAGCAGTCTGCTACAAAATTAGCCCTGAAAATAGATTTTTTGAAGAAAGATTAATTTTAGGAAAAAGAAAATAGTTCAAGCTCATATTTACTACTGAAAGAGGACGAATTGGTCTGAACCCATGCAGCTGCAGAGCCTGAAGTTACAAGTCAAGGCAAGTGAGACCACACGAAAGTCTCAGGCTGCCAGATCACTGCCCAGGCCCCGGGGGAGTCCCTGAGGCTCCACCCACATCCAGAGGGGCCCAGGCTCCTGCACTTGTTTTTCCAGCTGCGCAGGGAGAGGACAGGAAAGCAGGTTCCGGCTCCTGCGCTGGGCATACCTGAACCACACGTCCTCTCCAACACTGGATCATGTGCCACAGATTTTTTTCTTTTGTTTGTAAAGGACATCAGGGAGAAAACTAGGAAAATGTAATGGGATCCACAGATTGGGGTATAATAGGGTTGTATTTATATTAATTTGGTGATCTTGATCATTGTGCTGTCTGCACAGGAGAATATCATTTTAAAGGAAACACACACACAAGTATTTAAGAGGGAAAGAACATCAGGACATCTGCAATATGGTTAAAAAATAACAATATGCTTTATACATAGAGAGAAAATGGTTCTGATGCAAATGTCATAGATGTTACTATTTAAGCAATTTGGAGAGGGATATATGAGTATTCCACAACATTCCTATACCTTTTCTGAAACCCCAAGTTTTATTTTGTGGCAATGGGTACTGACAAGGCCTTCACATTGAGCTGTATCACCAGCCCTTTTTATTTGATTTTATATATCTTTTTGACATAGGGTCTTGCCACATAGACTTGTGGCAATCCTCCTGACTCAGCCTCCTGAGTGCTAAGATTATAGGTATGCAACAACAAACCAGCTCCTTTTTAGTTTTTTGATCTTGAGACAGGGTCCAGCTAAATTGTTCAACTGCCAGGGATAGGCTCAAACTTGTGATCCTCCTGCCTCATCATCCCACAGTACTGAGATTACAAGTATGCTGCCATGGCAACCTAAAGTTAATTTTAAAACAAAATACATACATGCCTGTCCCAACAGAATTGTGATGCTAACAGATATTGTCCCCAGCCCCGCTTCAGAGGACCCAGAGTCAGCTGGGTGGTCTCTGGATGGAACAAAGAACCTCAAGCATGGGAAGGAGTCTGCCACAGAGGGAGGAGCCAGTCACTCACCTGGGCTTTGCCACTTGGCCAAGTGGCCTTGGGCAAGTCACTTAACCGCTCTGAGCCTCAGTATCTCATCTGAAAGGTTCATGGGATAACATCTACCCTGAAAGGATTTCAGATGAAACATTGTAAAGGCCAAACACCGGCAGGACCAAGCTCAGGGTATGGTGGTACACACCCACAATCCCAGCACACTTGAGAGGCTGAGTCAGGAGGATTGAGCTTGAGGCCAGCCTTGGCTACATAGTGAGTCTGAGGTCAGCCTAGACTACAGAGCGAGACCCTGCTCTAAAAAAAAAAAATGGTGGGTATCAGAGCAAGAAATCCAAAGTACACCACAGTCTCCTTTGAAAAGCCAACCACGCTTTTAATCTTTAGTGGAACAGACGGCAAAGGGTACTGGAAGAAACCATGGCATAGAGACCATCACTCCTAACCTCACTATGCTTTGTACCTCTAAGTTGTCTCATCTCCTCATTAATTAAGTGACCCCGGGTAACAAAGCTCAGTGAAACTTCTGTTGTCTTATTAATTATAATAACTTATAATTATACACAACTTGACTAAGCTCAAGCTATTCTGACCTTTATTGTTGAATTTAATCTTCACTAATATCTTTCTATCTGCTTATTGATTAAACCTTCCTCTACAGGACAGAGCCATGTCTGGCTTCTGGAGAAAGAATTAAAAATGCTGCTATATGTGCTGTAGAGAAACCCTTGCACAGGCCAGAGGGTGTTCTGGCAGCGAGGGCAGGAAGCTGTGTGTGTGTGTGTGTGTGTGTGTGTGTCTGTCTGTCTGTCTGTTTGTCACCAACAGTGGATGCTGGGTCACCTGTGGTGGACGCATGCATCTGACATAAAGGAAGAGAAAGAGAGAGAGAGAGAGAGAGAGAGAGAGAGAGAGAGCGCGGCAGATCTGAAAGAACACTGGGTACAAGGGCCACAAATGCTGTGATACACACAGTGTGATGACAGTGGACATTAAAGCAGTGCACAGTATTTGTGTACACATGTTACATTTTTCATAGAACGTTGCATTCTAATTTGTAAAAGAAAAAATATATAACAAGCTGGGGAAAGAGAGAGCGGTGAGACAAATGGAGATGCAGGTGCACGTGCGCGCGCGCACACACACACACACACACACACACACACAGTCAGGGCAGGACTCAGCCTGACCATCCCACCTGAGGGCCCCGGCTTGTGGCAGGGGGTCGTCCCCTGGTGCACACTCTGCTGAAGCAGGCTGAGGCACTCTCCGAGGCAGCTGAGGGTGGCGGCAGAGGTAGCTTTCAGGAGCAGCAGGTCCTGGTCCAAGGCAGTGAGGGGCCCGGAGCCCGGCAGGGATTCGATGGCATGCACTAGGTTCTTCTGCTGCCCTTCCACCTGGTTCATCATCTACAAAACAGAGAACAGCAGGGAGGTGAGGGCGGAAGTGCTCCTGCCACCAGCTGGCCGGCCACCGCCTGGACTGGAACTGGGCCAACGCAGGCAGAGCTCGCTCGAGTACACAGTGCACGAGGCACCTCCCTGAGCTGTGCAGTCTCAGGGGAAACTGGCCCAGGCCACACTCCTAAGGCGCTCTGACCAAGGAGAACCTTCAGGATACACGAGCTGAAAACGAGCATATTATAGATCATCAGAAATAAGTCAATACCCTAAAATACAGCCAATACGTTAAAAGCAAACACCCTTGCAAAATCCTTCCTGTTCTTTTCCGTGAAGCTCAGCGGAGGTGGTGAACACACCACAGTTTTCCCTCAGAGGAGGTTAGTTCCGCACTCCCCTCTAGCCTCAGTCTTTTGCTCCTCAGCAGTCCTGTTCTGAGGCAAAGAAATGGAAGCAAAACCCCGAGCTAGGATTTGTGCAAAACATCCCACTTCCATGACTTTCTGTAACCACAGATGCCAGGAAGAGGAGGAAGCCAGGAATGGCAGGCACAGCCCTACTGCACGGCTTATGCTGTGACAACCACGACAACTACTGCGTCCTGGCTTCAATTCATAAACTTACCACAAGATTAACAGCAGTTTAATTGCACCTTTGAACTGACAAATCAAGGGGAAAGGAACTCCAAAGAGAGCTAGAAAAGGACTTCAGTGGTTATCTTGTGGAGTTCATGCCCCTCGTGTTTACAACTTTCCACATTAAACAAGATGATTTCATCAATTGCTCAGCACCATGTTTGGCAAATAATTAATTGTTCTGTTCTAGAAATGAGGGAGCTAAAGCCATGGCCCCAGGGCACAGAGCTGGTCGGGAGAATAAATGCCTGTTCTCTGATCCTTTGTTCTGTAAACTTTCTACAAAAGCTGTCCTTAATTTGAGGTAAGATTTCCCGCCCTGTTACTATGGCCCCCAGAGGATCCCCGTCACCATCCTATCACTACTGGCTGAGAAAAAACAACAATTCTGTAAAGACCATTAGACCTGGGCCCAAGACCCATTCTATGCTTGCCCTTTTTTCCCTTCTATTTCCTTTTTAAAAATGCCTGCCATTTTCTAAAATTCAGTGGAGTTAACCAGCTTTAAAAAAAAAAGTCCATCCCACTTACCAAGACAAGTGCCCTTACATCTAAAGGGTAGTAAAAGTCATTGCTAGAGAGTTTGCAGACGGTCTATGGCACCCTCTCTTTCCTCTGCACATCCACTCATGCAAATTGTCTTTTGCAGATAACAAAGGTCATACAGCTGCTAAAACAGCACCCGGAACATAACAGCTCAACAAGTATTCACATCACCTTTAGGTTTTTGCTTAAAAGTCACCTTCTCAAAATAACTTCCCAAAACAACTAAATTTACACCTCCAGCCCAAACCCTCACACTCTGACCTTTCTTACCAACTTTAGTTTTCACTATAGCAATGAGTGCCCTCCGATTTGACTCCCAGTTTACTTATTTGTTAAGATCATTTATTTACGTGAGTGTGTAAGCAGGGATCAGTACCTGTGTTATTCACTGACATATCCCAAGAAAGTAATTATCTGCTGAGTGAATGAATCCAGAGGCTGATGACATAGCACTTACAAGCACACTTGAGGCCCTGGGTTTGATCCCCAGCACATGGAAAAAAATTCTGAATGACCCTAAATCTCACCATTCTGTCACTGACATGCAAGAGAATCCATCTGACACCAAGTCTACAGAGACCATTACACTCGGTAAGTATAACAGGACTAAACACAGCATGTGGGCAATACTTCTATCAGTTTACTCTTGCCAAGAAATACGGCCAGCTGACTACATCTAATTTCAAACAAGATATAATCTCTATGCACTCACTAGCTGTCAACTGTAACTTTTAACAAGCAGGGAAAAGTAGATTTCAAGCTATTTGAAGTAGTCAGCATTTTCATAAATTCTGATACCAAACCTTATTTGTAAAAATAGGTTAAAAAGAGGTTAAAAATAATGAAACAACCAATTTTCCACCACAGTCCATCCTAAGATTGTGAGTAACTTGGTCTCTGAGTGTTCTTCAAGACAAACAAACATTTTGAAGAACTTTTAACTTGATGAAGGAATAATGTCTTGCAATATGAGTAATGCCCGACACTGAACATCACGTGGTCACAAGTGGATCTTCTCTCTCTGCTCTGATACAAAAGTGCTTTGGATGAGTGGAAGGAATTATTCTTGCAAACCAAGGTTTTTTATGAGAGATGCCATAATGTTTAAAAGGCAAGTAAAAGGAAGCCTTTAACTAAATGGAATATATTTCATTGACACCTGTTTAATATATTCCAGTTATAGTATAGGATAAATACTTGTTATTCCATAAGCATTAACTATTAGGTAATAGGTAATAGTTAATAGGTAATAGGTAATAGTTAATAGTTACTATTAGGTAACTTCTTAGGTAAGAAAAACATAAAACTAGCTTAGGGAATGTCTTACACTATTGAAACAGAGGCTCACAGAGGGGTCCACACATCCGCTGTCATCAGAAGTATTTATTAAGAGCCTACTGCTGGTGGCAGAGGCAGGGAAGCCTTTTAGAGGAAGCATCTGGAGATGGCAGCGAGGTGCTTTGCAGCTGCAATGACTGGGAGACCCACTGGCATGGAGGGGGTGGGGGTCAGGGTGCTGCATGCCAAGAGTAGCCCAGAAGAAAGAGTCTTGTGACCGAAACACTGGCAGTGTCCCCGAGCAACTCTGACAGCCTCTTACCAATAATCAGGCGCCTCACGGTTTTCAATGTCTTTCTTGGTAAACTGAACACTAAAGACAAATTGAGCTAAACCTCTTGCCTGGCACAGAAGAGAGGTCCTCTAAAGATTAGTTTTTTGTCCCCCTTTTCCATAACATGTGAAACAGAACTCTAGTTTTCAGCACTATGGTTAACAGAGATCCTTTTATGCTAGTTGCATTAGACTCAAAGAAATTGAGTGACCTCAAAATAAAACAGGCGTCTGGGTGTCAGAGCTATACTCAGTTATCACTGCTCACGTTTCCCGTGCACTCGCAGAACACCAAGAGCAGGTCCTAAGAGGCTCCTGCTGCCTTGCAAGGTGCCTGGAGGCTTAGGAACAAAACGCACACTCCTCCACCAGCTGACAAACCTGCAGGGGGCAGCCTTTAAAACCATGCCGAATCACTTGCTTTAGTTACGTATGTTTCAGATCAGAGCCCTCTCCCCAGGGACATCAGCGCTACTCACCCATGGTTTGAAACCAAACCAAATTTCTTTTTGCCATTTGGCTTCCAGAGTCAACAGTGCTACCACCTTGTAACACCGAAACAAAACTGGGGTCCCACATGAAGTGCAAAGACGCACCCTCCGGGGGCTGGGGATATAGCTCAGCGGCACATGCATCTGCCTGACAAGGTCAGGGTCCTGAATTCAGTTTACAAAGACACATGCTCTAAAAGTGTCAGCTCTGAGGCTGTGAGAGGCTAAGTAGGTCAAGTTGAACTTCACAGATAAGCAAACTTCAGAGGGAGAGGGAAAATCTTATCAGCTGTTTCCCACAGCACAAATAATGGCTTATGCATTACAAACTCAGATCACAGGAACTAAAGTTAATAGGATTAGAGGCTGCATAAAGCTTAAAGAACCTGAATCTAAGATGCAAAGATCAATCCTCAATGTCATCTTGTTCAACAAGTTTAAATCTGTCTAAAAGAGAACTGCAGGAAGCAGCACCGGGAGGAGGCTTCATTTCCCACTGCTCTGACTCCTCTGTGCTGTACAGTGCAGTCTCAGAGCCCCTGAGAAGTCCAGTCCTCAAGTCCTGATGTCAGCACGCACAAGTCCAGTCATTCATCTATCACCAACTAAGACAGATTCCAAATCCTAAATTTAGGAATCCCAACTGCTTGCCTTCGTTGGCAAAGTCTCCTCAGGCTCCCTTACACCTTCAGTAATGCAATCTGTCTCGCTTTAAAGTAGGTCAAACAATTTGATACTAAGGACAGGGTGGTTTTGCTTTGGCATTTCTCCTCAGCCTGGTGGAATTCCTGAGTTCTGCTAAGTCTTCTGCGACAGAGGGTAAGTCTGTGGCTAACTCAGGCAATTTTCAATTTGACCTTACCTAAGCTAAAAAGCTATGGAGGGGAGGGGCATCACTTCAAGAATCAAAACAACACACAGAGTTTACTGTCTCCATTCATATGACTTTACTCTTTCACTAACCTCATAAGCATTATTTTAATATTCCAGGAGAATCCGCTGCAGAAATTTATGATACTTCATGACAGGAACTTCTTAAAACAGCTGTCAACTCTTTTATAGAAACCATTAACAGTTTACACCTTCAAATCCCTTCAATTCCATGCCTCAATATCTTGCTTCATTGCTTCCACAAGTCCTGAACTGTTCTGTTTTGATTCTTACCTAATCCTAACCTAGTCCCCACACTTTAGGCAAAACCTGCAATCCTCTGTGCTCTGCCCTGGCCTTTCCCCAGGGGACTGGCAAAGGCAGTCTCTCCTCACAGCCATAAGCAACAGTCAGCTCTGGGTATCAACAGACTGTGTTATTAATATGTGGAAACTGCATTCCAATCTGCAGTGACTTTCAGCACACCTCTGAGGGTCAGAGCAAAGTCCCGGCCTGGACCTGAGCAATATGCTGCCGACTTCTCACACCTGACATTTCACTTTCCCTGTATTTCCCAGGCTATGCTTGTTTTCCTTAGGGCATCCCCTGCACCCCGAATGATAACCTGCCCAGCACTCCCTACAGGCAGAGTCCTGGACACCAGTGGCTGCCCCCGGGTCCTAAACACTTTACCCACAAACGTCTCTCCAACCTGATGAAGCAACAGGACAAAGAAAAGCCCCAGCAAATATAGGATCTTCAAAGCTCACATTTCTCAGTGGGGTTAAGAGAGTGACAGCGGCAATAAAGAACAAGACAAGCAGCTAGAAATGGGTCCATCTCCAGTGGAAGGATG